GGGGGGTTATAGGGGGGCTTGCGCCAGTATTTTCTCTCATTTAAGTTGCTTTGCTGTGGTTTTAACGGTCAAATTCGTTCATATCACGCCAAAATAAATCAGAAAATCACAAATTTATGCCTCTTTGCGAGTTGGGTCCATTTCTACAAAATTACCCAGAAACTTGTTAGTTTCACTTCGAGAGGGTAACCCTGTTCGCTAAGCGGGCGCTTTTTCGAAGAAGCTGCCACCTGATTTTGAGGACACTTTTTTAATTGCTTCAAAGCGAGGAATGAACTAGATCTACCTTGCTATACAGAAACTTTGCCATAACAAACGCTTGACACGTAGACTACTTATTATACTAGATCTAGATCTAGATCTATATATCTAGATCTATTACTCTGAGACTTCTCCCCCCTCCCCCCAAATTAACACAATAATCAAGCAACTGTCGTCATGGTTGACTTGCACTCACCCTCTCTTGCTCCTGTTAGTGCAACCATAAGATGTAGATCTAGAATAAGTCGAAAAAAGCGAAGACCCTGGAACTTATTATTAGAAAACAAATGCTATAAATGTTAGCATTGATATTCGTCATTTCTACGCCCAAAAAAAGGCAACAGGAAGGGTTTGTTCGTCATCAAGAATAATTCCAAAAGTTGAACTTCCGTATTTTCTTACCCCCGAAAAAGGTAGGTCTAGCTTCGGCGACCTAAATTGCACACCATTTCTAATGCCGCGCATCAAATGCTGTAATTTAATATTATGCTTCAATGAGACTGGTCCCTTAAAATAAAAAGGTTTTTTTGTACTTGTAGGTCTCATCCAGTGGTGTCAGTGGCCTGGTAGTGAGGCTATCGGTGTCGTAACCAAAGGATTGCGGGTTTGTATCTCGCCAAAGGCCCAACTTGTGTCTTCGGGAAACGCACTATAAGGGCCTACAATTTTTCCTACTGTGGGGATGGGTACCCGGCTATAGACAGTGAAAGATCATATCAGTTTGTGTTTGAGGGCTGAATCAGCTGGTTGCATTGGGTTTTTTTCTGAGAGGCCGAGAACGTTTCTGAATGAGGTTAGGTCTATTTTCAAGGGCATAGAGATTGCTGTCGAGCAGGTATACACACTGTACAAATGCAGTCTATCTGTTATTATAATTCCTGAATTGTTTCTGTAAAAAATACGTTTCTTAGACAGGTAAAAATTTACATACGAGTTTCCAATTTCGTTTCCAGCCACACTGAAAGCAACGTTTTTCTCCTCCATCACATCCATGTCTCAGAATAAACTATTTTTATCCATCACTTCCACTTCTAAGATATGGCTATTTTGATCGATCACTTCAATGTCTAATGGTCCGGTTACACATAACAATGAATTGTGTCAGATTCGTCGTATGCGAGAACTGTCCGTTTTATCGAGATGTGTAGTCTGTTTAGACGTTCCAATCTATCGTCCGGTTTTCTTTCGATCAGGTAGATTCCTAGTCATTAACTTGACTGCAGGTGTGCAACGCACCGGGTGACCTTGAAACACAACTTCCCCATTGACGATCAACTAAATAATAAAATTGAGAAAATATACATAATAATGCCTAACATGAGGTTTCCAGCGAGCAGCTTTGCCTATTTAAAAACGCTGATTCCGAACATGAAATCAGTTTTTGCCAGCGATAATTATTTAAAAAATTTTGAGCCCTAAGTTTAATCATGCCCGGCGGCAAATTTTAAAGTGATTCTACGTCACAGCGCGTCTCCCCCAAATCTGACCGTGATCGCACGGAAAATATCAAGCATCGTTTGATTTCTCAACTCAGTCTCCAGGCATCGTCCAATCGTCCAAACTTTGCACAATTTTGTGGTTACACCTGGCGATTTGTCTCATGATAAATAGATCGTCCAGTTTTTGTACAATTTATCGTTGCGTGTAACCGGGGCTTGACACATTACTACTCTCATCCATCGCATCTATATTTCAGACATAACTGTTCTCATCCATATCTCAAACAAAACAATTTATATCCATAACATATTGAGTCTGTCCATATGACCACTGTTATGTTTTAGGAGCCTTTTTATCATTTTACGAAAAGAGAATGTATCAAATATGGTACCATGAGGATGTGTTAAAAGAAACTAGCCTGAACCCCCCTCCCCCCCCCAATAATAGGAGCAATTGAGAAGAGATAGATGCCATTCCGAAAGCACTTGTTCCGACATAAGGACATCGAAAAGCTTGCTCTCACTGGCATGTATATCATGCTTGCATGCATGTATACATCCATGTATACACCTATACATCCATACATCCATGTATACACCCATACATCCATGTATACACCCATACATCCATGTATACACCCATACATCCATGTATATACCCATACATCCATGTATACACCCATACATC